TATTACAGCACCTTATCGAGTACTGATTTGCTGCCACCTGCTGGGAGGCAGAAATGGGTTTCTAGCATCCTTAAAGGGCAAGAATGATGGCCCTACAGGTTGTAAAACTGTCCCATAAAGTGAAACATAATGTAGGTACCTTTAGGTCTGAAAGAAATCAATAATCCTAGAATATAAATGAACTGCATATAAAGAAAAATACGATCTGTGTATAAAAATGGGAGTGTATTATTTTAAGAGAAAGTAAGATGGGATATTTGCATTTACCATGAATGATGTAAAGTTCCTGAAAATGGTGAGCCCCTCAGGTATTGATTCTGTATTTGTGTAAAGGTAATTAACCACTTGACTGGGGCTAATGGAGAAACTTAAGATCTGATGAACCACTGCTCAATGAAGATGAGTGAAAAATAAAGCTAAATCTAATGATAACAGCGTGATGGACAGAATTAACAGCCCCTCAAAGACATCCATGCCCTCATTCCCGGTGCCCAAGAGAGTGAAGCCTTGAGCCCAGAGAGCAGAACCAAGAGCCACAGATTACTCCTTGAGATTCTGTGGAGACTGCCAGATTGGATTTTTGAAATTGTTTGGGCTTGTGACTCCCCTTTTCCTTCCATTTTCTCCCTTTTTGAATGGGAACGGCTATACTTGCTCTCCTGTGCCTTCTCCTCCACCGTATTTTGGGAGCAGACAACCTATTTTCTGGTTTCACAGGTCTACAATGGAAAGGGATGTTTGCCCCAGATTATACTCAGAGCCTCACCTATCTCTAATTTAGATTGAGCTATTTGAGATTTTGGAGGATTAAATGAGATGCTGTAATGGGTTGAAAATGTGGGAGACTTTTAAAGGGGGTGAATAGATTTTGCATGTGAACAGAAATGCATCTTTGAGAGTCAGAGGGTGGACTAGGGCAGGCAAAATGGCCCCTCCCAAAGATGTCCACACCCCAATCACCAGAACCTGTGAATAAGTTACCTTACGGAGAAAAAGGGACTTAGCAAATGTGATTAAGGTTAAGAACCTTGAGATACAGAGGTGATCTGGGTGGGCCTATTTTAATCACATAAATCCTTAAGATTCTTTGATCGATGAAATCTTTGACCAAAGTTACTGGCTTTGAAGATGGAAGAAAGGGACCACAAGCCACGGAATGTAAGTAGCCTCTAGAATCAGGAGAAGATAAAGCAACGGATTCTCCCATAGTCTACAGAAAGGAATGCTGTCAGCTGACATCTTGATTTTACTCCAGTGAGACCTGTTCTGGACTTCAGACCTGTAGAACTTTAGTATATTTGTGATCTTTTAAACCAAGTTTATGGTAATTCTTTTTACAACAGCAATAGAAAATGAATACTGTAGTAACAGCTAGCAATTACCATGTTCTACCACTACAGCAAGTGCTTCCCAGATAAGCCTTTCAAGAAAGGAAGCTAAAACACCTCTGAAATCATATTACATAATCTGGCCATGGCCACCTCTCTGACCTCATCTCCCACTCTCTCCCTTGATCACTACCATCCACTCACTCTAGTCTCCTTACTGCCCTTTAAACATACCAAGCGCACAGTCTCCCCTTTTTAGTATGTACTTTCCTTAGATATCCCACACTCGTTTCTCACTTTCCTCAGGTCTCTGCTCAAATGTCACCTTCTCAGTGAGACCTTCTTTGCTCACCTTATATAGGACAGTACACACCCACCCTCACTTGGCATTCACTAACCCCTAATCCCTAGTTTATTATCCCATACAGCACTTACACAATCATTTGATACATATTTGTTTGTTTATTCTGTTTTTTCTTGCTCCCTAAATATAAGCTCTATGTGGGCAGGGGCTTTATCTGTACTGATGACAGCTTTAGCTGCAGAACTTCAAATAGCATCTGGTACACAATAGTCACTCAATAAATACTGGCAGGAATAAAGGAACACTTAAAAAACTACTGGCAGATTATAAGAATTCGCTTATGTTAACATTCTAATGCAAAATACATAGCGCAGAGCAGGGATCATTAGACGATACACATTAACGCTACTTTGGTTGGGAAACAGACCTCAGTGTACAGATTCAATGCCGTGCCTGTAAGAATGAGGCCATTTCCATAGAAAACAAACTTACGGGGTGGGGGGAGAATGGGGTATGGAGGGATAAATTGAGAATTAGGGATTTGCAGATATTAACTACTATATGTAAAATGGATAAACAAGTTCATACTGAATAGCACAGGGAACTATATTCAATATCTTGTAGTAACCTATAGTGAAAAAGAAGATGAAATGGAATATATACATGTATAAGTGAAACACTATGCTGTACACCAGAAATTAACACATTTTAAACCAACTATATTTCAATTACAAAAAAAAATGAAAGCCCATTCATTTCTCAAGTGACTTCCTATAATTCTAAACATGGTACACCTTTTCTTAAGGTCATATTATAAGCAAAACAGCATATAAATTAATTTTGCATTTTCTTATAAACATAATACATTTTATTTTTTTAAAAAGATAATTGCTACCTACATTTCCCCTCAACTTTTTAATTCTGAAAAATTTCAAACTTACGGAAGATTTGAAAGAAAAAACTGCAATTAACATAGTGCCATATTTTCTCTATACACACTTTTTTTTGTCCTAGGTTACCTGAAAGCAGTTTGCAGATATCATGCATGCTAAACATTTTAGCATGCATTGCCTAAGAACAAAAGCATTTTTCTAATAACCTTAATATTATTATCAGACCTGAAAAATGTAAGTCAACAATGTAATTCCATGTTCAAATTTCCCCAATTGTCCACAAACTCTCCTGTGTAACTTTTAAAAAATTCATACTCCTATCCAATTCATGGTTGCCCATTAATGCAGATCAGATCTTTCTGTCCTTTGTTGTCTGTCTTTCATGATATTGACATTATTGAAAAGTCTAAACAAACCACATTCTGCATTGATCTGTTTCCTTACAGATTCAGGCTAAACGTTTTGGCAAGAATGCTTCACCGGTGTGCTTGCAATAATCTGTGTTCTCCTCAGCATGGATGCTAGAATTGTTTGCCAGGCAGCATCTATTACCATTCTGCAGGGGGATGGGGGTATAGCTCAGTGGTAGAGCCTGTGCTTCGCATGCACAAGGTCCTCGGTTCAATCCCCAGTACCTCCATTAAAAATAAACACATAAATAATGTATGAAAATGTCTGCCACAGTACACACAAAGTAGTTAATCAATAAATAGTGGTGTTTAAAAAAACCCAAAACATTTCTGCAAAGGACTAATGCTCCATGGAACACAGTTTAGGGAACACTTGGATAAGGAAAAAAATGTGAAATGCACTAAAATGTTTAAGAGTCTGTAGGGTAAAAAGCAGGTAAGAATTAAAAATCACTTTTTAAATTACAAACTTCATTCCCTTAGGTAATGCAAACTGAGCTTTCATAAAAGTTAACACAACCAAAAACCCTCACCAAACATTGTGCAGACAAGGAACCCCAAGCTTAAAGAAAAGGAGTAACTTCCAAGTTCTATCACTGTATTGACTGCGTTTAGCAGCTGAGATTTGAAACCAAGTCTGACTACTTACATGTTCTTTCCACTAGACCCTTTACTTCATTTAATCTTATGTTTTATTTTCTGTAATTAACTATTCTTGGGTCTACAGTTACTCTAGGGTAAAAGTGGTCTTTTAGTCTAAATAATAATGAAGCTGCTAAGGAAGACTAATTCATTTTTTATTGTTTCATATTCAATAAGAATCAACTCACAGCAAGTAACTGAGGAAGGCTTAACCTCTCCCAAATGCATGCAATTATGCAAATCATATGTGGGGACTGGGGTCTTGGCTCCAGATACTAATTATAATACAGCCCCCATTTATGACCATATCTAGTAGCCATAATTTGATCTTCGCTATTGCCTAAGATGATGGCTTTATTACGTTACAGCAGACATTTGGGAGACATCAGTTTTACCTAAAAATTCTAGAATTCAATTAAGCTCGGGTTTTATTACTTCTTACAGGATCTAACAGGTTTTCCAAAAAATTAGTTACCTTTCTGACCCGGAGAGAGGTAACAAATATTAAGCAATAGATAGAGCCTTTCCCCCTCTGTCGACTTTGCGAGAGCGGTGAGCGTGGGTCCTTGTTTTTGGTACAAGTTTGAAAATATTAATCAACACGAATGAGTAACTTAAGAGAAAAAAATGCTAGTCCTTCAGCCGTTAAAACCCACGCCGTGCTTTTAAAACTTGAGCTGCATTTCAACGGAACATTACTGAGCATTTACTCCAATAGGCTGGAAATCGCTTTGAGGAATCTGAATCCCCTTAATTTCACCGGACTGTCAAACGTCCCATGTCTCGCCCTCCACCCGATACTTTCAGGTTTGCAGGGAGAAAAGGAAACAGGTCTCCGTATGTGGGCCGTCGCAAGACGCGGGAGCCCGGCTGGACTCGGGCTCCACCTCCCGGGCTTCGCGAAGCGCCAAGGCCGGGAAGGGATGGCCATAACCCTCCACCTTTGGAGGCGATCTGGACCTTAAGGGAAGCAAAAGCTACCCGCAGAGACCGTAAACCGCCGTCTCCCGCGTCACTTCCCCGACGGCTGCCGGACGCGCCGCCCCGTCCCCACCTGCCGCAGGCCCTCCGGCCTCCAGGCTCACGTGCCCTGCGCCACACGCCGGAATCCCGCGGCCACGTCCGCCGGGACCCAGGCCACGCCCCGCGCCGCCACCCGGCCCCCGGCC